TGACTCTACCATATAACCTTTGACCTTCTCTTTGACAGCTTGATTAATTACCCTGTGTTATGATTTATGAGTAAGTGCTATGTAAAATTAATAGACAACAGGTGGTCCTCTGAAAACTTTTTATGACATGTTTTCTTTCACTGGCTAACTTGATGATCTATTTGAAGTAGGAGATTTATCTGGGATAATCTATGTTGGTCAATATTACAGTTATTTTATATCATGTATACACCATGAAAATTCATGAAACTGCCAATTGAAGGATAATCCTGATAAATACTTTATAAAATATTTGTAGTTACCTTAATGCATATTGAAAAGCATAAAAGGGAGTCAAGTGACATTTCAGGCATTTCAGTGCCAGGTCACGTCTTTAGAAAATTGCTGAAATAATGGAGGGGCATTTTCCAAGCAGAGCTGCATCTCTAACAGCTATGTTTACTTTAACGCTTCACTAGTGACTTCTGATTGGTTGTCATGACCTCATCTCACTGTTGCACCTAAGATGTTGCAACAGTGACATATGCATACCACTCTTGTGAAGAAGAGAATAAACATAACATAGTTCTTTTAGAAAAGAGGAGTGGACAGTTTTTTGTCTATTTTAACTGTGGATAGTTACAGATAACACACTTGGAGTTCCATTTGCCTTGAGGATGAACACCTGTCTTCTTTCAAGTGAAGCAGGTAGAATGCTGAACTTGAAGAATATGATTGATATATCTGTGTAAAACGATCTCCTACAGAGCTTTGCCTGGAGACCAAAATGGATAGTTCCATGGGTCAAAAGATTCTAGTGTGGCCCTTGACCTCTGTGGTCACATGTGGCTTCGAGTATTGGCAAGTTAATGTGCAGAGCTGAGCACTTTCAGCTGATTTTTTTTAATGTTGCCACTTATAAGAGATCTTAAAAGCTGTAGGATTTCCCCCTATTTTCCATTCTCTTTAGAGTTGGTAATTAGCATACAAACTTTGCTAAATCTTTAGTTTTTATAGTTTCATTTGGGGTGAAAAGTCATCTCTTTTTGTCTGCTATTTTTAGGTTTCTATCAACACATTCTTGATAAGTAAATTTCTGTGCTGACTTAACTTCTCTAGCAAAGTTTCCTGTATGTTCTTTGTGTTGGACAAACACCTGTCTGTTTCAGCATATGCCATTATTTGCTGATGGAATGATAAATTATTATTTAATAGTAAGTGCATTTTTAGCCTTCACAGTAAGAGGTCCTGGGATCCTGTGTATTAATCATGGGAAAAAATAATTTTGTTTTAAAAATGTCATGGTTAGCACTAAACTTTTGTGTGTGTCAGATTAAGATCCTGTAATATAGAATTTATAAATATAGACCTGTAAATGAAGCCACAGTTACAGCTACACATGCATAGAAATAGAGTCTGCAGAATTAAACCTTCCTTTTAAACCTGTGTTTGTCAATGTAAATACCTTCTTGATCTAGATGGAAACTCAAACCTAAGAGTGAGTTAACAACTATGTGTGCATATTGAAAGTGATTTGGTAAATCATTATAGAAGATGTTCTTAGCCTTGTGGAGTTGCATTGTTAAATAAACACTTTGATCATTTTATCTTGTTAAAAGTAACAGAAGAGCTTTCCATGTGTATTTGGAATGCTGCAACTTTGATCCTATGGGACTTTCACATACTTCGAGAACAACTGAATATAAAAAGAAAGTTTCACTGTTGCACTCAGGATTCTAGGCCCATGTTAAAGAGGTTTCCTTGTTAAGGGCAGCAATGCATAGGTTTTTTTTTAATATACTTGATATCTGATTTTATTTTGTAGTCTCGTAAAAATTTACATTCAGTAGATCATGTGAGCACTCCTTTTTACTTAGCTTGCTCAGTGTTATTGAATTATTGGGAATAGAATTATTTTTTAAGTCAATATATGTTCTAGTACTTGAAGTTGTAAGTTCTCCTAAAAAATTAACTGTTGATATTTTGTCTCACTTTATTTACTTTGACACCTTGGCTGCCGTATGTTAGTGTTGACATTTCTAAAATCTTTAAATCTTACGTAAAACTGTTTTTGACCTTGTATGCAAAAGAGAAAGGAAGAAACAGGTGAAGTTTGGCTGTATGTCTGTGGTTAGAATGTAGGTAAGAAAATGCAAGTACCTATGCTGGCTTTATTCTACTTTTTATAAACTTGTTAAAAATGATCTCTGTCAACATTGTATCCGTTTTTATGAAAATCCTAATTCAAAATGCTAGTATTTTTATTACCAGAATTGTAATTAAATTTGCAACTCTGAATTTTGCAGGAAATATTCCTGATTATTTGTGATCACTATTATTTTAATTAAAATGATAATTTAAAATGTCTAAAGGATAAAATATTCTTTAAATAATTTGGGTAATTAAAGATAATAATGTAACTGTTTCAGAATTTATTGTTGACATCTAAATTTTTAAAAATCTTTAATTGATTTATGTTGTGGTGATTTAAAGATGGCATCATTTTTCTTCTGTTGATGCCTCAGTGAAAAATTGGCATTGTACCTTTAGAAAACTGAATAAGTGAGTCATGAAATTCTCTATTATATAATAACTTAGGCAAATACTATTTTTTGATGATCTATATATATATGCATATATATATATATATCTTATTTAGATGGGATATCTCACATTTCAAAATTCATTTAAAATCAGCTAGGCTCAAGTTTTGTTTTTCAGCCTGACTTCCAAATATGAGGTCAAAATGTCCAGAGGGGTCTGATGGTGTGGAGATAATATTTAGGTGATGAAGCTACATATTGATTTGGTAATTCTGGTGATTTTAGCTTTGCTCAGGGTTGTCTTCATTGCAAATCCTTGTTCTATTATTATATTAATTATCATATGAGCATCATCTAATATAATTAGTAATTAAATATTTGAATATTCCTATCATCATTACACCGTGGTAAACAAGGCTTTGCAACTCTTATGAAATTTAAGATTCTACTTAGACTTTTTAGCCTCTGTGTGAGTATGAAAACCTGTGTGTGTGTGTGTGTGTGTGTGTGTGTGTGTGTGTGTGTGTATGTGTGTATGTGTGTGTGTGTGTGTGTGTGTGTGTGTGTGTGTGTGTGTGTTTGAGAGTTTGAGAAGGCAGGGAAGAAACATGACAGGAGACCACTTACTCACAGTACAAAATCTGGTGAGGAGGCAGTTTCCTTTTTGGCCTGTGGTGACCTTTTTTGAATATGTTCCTTACACCAGAGACAGTGTACTGAATGTCTGCATTTCACCATGTTTAGCAGAGTGTAACAGTGCTCTTTAATTTACTTTGGTGGGAGGAGAAGGTATAGGTAAAATTTGAGACAGGCGTGAACAGTTGTAAAAAGCACAAGAAGAGGGTTAGGAACTTCCTTCAAATGTGATTTTAATAATTAGTCAAGTGTGTCCAACTGTAGAAAATCACCAAGTGACAATCTGTCTACCTGACAGAGATCACAATGAATTACAAGACTTTTGAGAATAGCTATACAGATTAGAATAAAGTGGGCCCAAATAAAATGTCTTTTGTTGGTAAAACTTTGACTCAACAGCTAACAAACTTAAAAAGAAAGTATGCAACATTTCCCTTGCTTTGAAGTCAAATGTAGTAAATTGTTAAAACTACATTATAAGTGGTTCATAGACAGGCACTTATATAAAGGTTTTATTGAAGGATCTGTTGAAGAGTGTGTGGTAATTTGCTCATTGTGTTGAGATATATTATTAGATAGTTTCCACATATATAAAAGGATTATATCTTAATTAATAGTCCTAACCCAAAACCAGAACTTCAACGATCTTGAAATTTCCAAACCAGCAATGGTTTCAGTCACCAGTAACCCCTGAGGAAGCACAAAAGTGTAAGAATTCCAATGACATTTACAACTAGTTCATGAGACAAAACAAAAACCCAAAGTCACAGCTGCAGTGGGGCATACCTAAGAGTAAGAGCTTGGGTCTATGTCAAGAAAGATTATTTTTTTAAAAACTAATGCTGTTGGTATATTTAAATTTATCTTCTTATGTTTTGTTTTGTTTTTAAAACTAGTTGAAATCTATATTTCATGTAGGAAATTCCATGCTTGTAGTCTGAAACACTACCTTTTTTTTTGTAAGGATGAACATTTTACAAACTTTATTTTCTGTGGTCCATATATTTTTGTCTTAATATATTGCATTTCTAGATATAACCTTACAAGACTTTTACAAAATCATAATTAGCACATTCACAATGCAGAATTGAATAGAAAAGACATAAATTGCTCCAGTTTTTTTTTTCCATTCTTCAAACTTGGTAGTGGTTGCTGTGTTTCTAATATTTAGATTAGTTCATCAGTTCAGCCTAAATATCTGATGATTTTAATAATTTCAGAAATGTTTGCTTTGTGAGAAGTGAGCAAGTCAAGAAAATATATGTTTAAAATCTAAAGCCCTTATAGCTCAAAAGGTTATGCTTTTAAACTTTGGAACTCAGGGCACTCATTCTTAAACAAGATAGCCTGTTACTGTGGCCTGAACCATAAAGCAAACTTCAAGATAAAACAGGTGTTTCCACTCATCCTGTTGGTTTGTCTTGCTCTGTGGGTTTTTAGTCTTTCTGGATGGAAAGAGAATAAGGTCCAAGGTGCACAGGTGATATACTTTTCTTAAAACACACATAATGTGGTTTGAATGCATCCCTATGTGATCATTTATTTTATTCACACTAGGAATAGATTGTATTTTTCATTTAAAAATTCATCATTTTTCTTTGTGGCAACCATGTCCATGTATTTTTATCCTTATAGATAATCTATGCTTATTTGTGCATGTAATAAAGGCCAACAATTTTATACTTTGTTTTAAAAATTTAACATAATCTTTGCTAAAAGGATAGTTTATAACTTGATACTACATAAAAATTACCTTGCCTAGGATGTTAAGAAACTTTTTCATGAATTAAAATGAATTCTGATATCAAATTGTTCCACTCTATTTTTTCTATTTCAAAACAGGAAGGATATGGAGTCATAGTCCTGAACCCAAATGAAAACTATATTGAAGTGGAAAAACCAAAAATGCGCAAACAGTTGTCTGCTGATGGCACAGATGAGCCAGCAGAGAAGCGGGAAAGGAGAGAGAAAGTCTCCAAAGAAACAAAGAAGCGCCGTGATTTCTTTGAGAAGTACCGAAACCCCCAGAAAGAGAAAGAAATGATGCAGTTGTTTATCAGGGTGAGAAAGTGCATTACTTCCCTTCGCTGCTCTTTTGCCTCCTTAGTATTCCATTTCATACCAATTGTTTTATTGTCTTAAAAGCTACTGATTCTTTAGTTTTTAGCAAATGTTTATTTTCCATGGTTATCTACTTGGATGGGACTTTTTCTTTTTAATTAAAGTTTAAAAAAACTATCATTCCTCTTTCTCTCCAATATTTCATAGACTGTCTAATGCAAATGCTGTTGTCTTTTGTGTCATTTGCTATTTCAAAGAATAACTTCTAAAGTTTTAATATAATACAGGCAAAAGGAAGAAAGCCTTTTACTGCAGTTCTCTAGCATATTACTACTTCAAGGTCTTATGAGAATAAATATAATAATTCTAAAACAATTGGTAAAATTTGCTTCATCTGGAATGGCAAGTTTTAACAGATGATGTTTGTGAACAATTATCCATCCATAATGTCTAAGTCACTTCAGGGGGAAAGTAACTAGTATTTCAATAAATATTTAGGCTCAAACCATTCAGGGGCAGTGCAATGAGGAGATCACTGGAGTTTGCTCTTGTCACACCCAGTGAGCCTTTGTACAGTATCATGGGATCCCTACAGCAGTGCCACCCAGGCATACAGAGTTCTGTAGTGACACACATGAACATTTTTGCACTTTGTCATTTTCTGATGACACAAGTGTGTACCATTTTCAAGGTGTGTATTTTGTTTGTTAACAGTAAAGCATTTAAAAAAAATGATACTAGAAGAGGGAAAACAGTAAATTGATGTGTTCTTTAAAGCTGAACAATTCAGTACACTTAAACTTAAGAATTAATATTTTATGTTTATAGAGAAGGTTTGGGAAAACACAAGATTCATTGTATACCCCATATTGGCCTGGAACTTAATATGTCATCCAGGCTTCACTTAAACTTGTGTGAATTTCTCATCTTTCCCTCCGGGCATTACAGTGTGATCCCCCAGACCTGGCTCTAACCTGTAGGGTAGTAGTAACATTTTAGGATATTCAAGTTGACCCATGTTTTACATTTATCCTTAAGGACTGTTAGTTATATATTTCATACCATCTTTGAGGGGAAAATGCATTGATTACTAGTTGTATGTCTTTATCATCTTGTATGACATCACAGTCTTCCTTGTCTTGGAAATTGAGCTTGAACAGCATTCTTTTGTTGGAGTTGTGTGTTTGTTTTCAAGACCATGAAAATTGTGTCCTGACCAGGAATACACAGAATATTTAATACTGTGAGTCAAAATAGGCAGGGTATAATATTTCAATATTTTCAAATCATCATTTACTAATGACTAAATTTAAAGTCACTGCATTTAAAATGTTTTGTTTGTCCTACTGTAGATATATGAAATCTTTGTACAACTAGACCAAAGTTTTATTCCTGACTTTTTAGTCTGTATTGTCCTTAGATTTTTGCCATATCATCATCCAATGTGTAACTGCCATTTATGATAAAGTGCCTCTCATATCCAGAGTCCAAAAATGACTGTTAGAATGCTTTTTGAGTACACAAATCATAGTCTTCATGTGTGTTAGTGAAATGTAAGCAGCACAGTGACTTGGTACTGTTGAGATGTTTATTTCTTCATTATTTGCTTGTAGTTTGTACAGATTAAGTAGTGTCTAAAACACCCACTTTAAGGGTCTCTTCTCCTTTGCCTTTGCATTCTGTCTTGCCAGCATTGCTTGAGTTTTTCTCTCTGTATTATGCATATCTGTTTTATTGATTTTCTTCATCTCTACATCTCTGAATATACTCTGTTGATTATTGATGCAGACACTTTTGTTTTTTAGGTTTCATTTAAATCTTTTCTAATTTTTATACCGAAGCTATTCTTACTCCTTTTCCATCTTATTTATTTATGAAGGAGGAGAGGAAGATTGACTTTTCCTTTTTGTCCCATTTGCCCCAAATGAGGTTTCCTTATAAAAATTGTCATCTGGGCTGGAGAGATGGCTCAGCCATTAAAGGCTAGGCTCACAATCAAAATAAAAATACTCATCTACACCATACAGGCTTGTATGTGGCTCTTTGAGTTAATAAAATATTTTTAACAGTTGCACTTAAAGTCACCTAGGATTGTACACAATAGCATTTACATGCTGAAACACTTCAATGGGAAAAAGAATATCTCATCTAATGTATATGCCTTCGTTCTTAGATAAAATTGACCCACTTAAATTATTTTTTCCTTATACACATCTCCAGATATTACCAGAGCATGGTATATAAAGAGGAGAAATTGCCTGTTAGAGTCTTCTTAATCATTCATGTTTAGAATTTCTCATGTGTTCCTTGAGAGGTTCATACAATATGCTTTGATCATATTCTCTGCCCTCAAACTCTCCTTCCTTCTATCCACCCTATTTTGTGTCTTTTTTTTTTAAAGTAACACATAGGACCAATTTATGCTGCCCAAATATTCTTGGATGTGTCCTCTTCCAGGAGAGAGTATAGTTGACTAACCAGGGAGTACACTCTTAGATAAAACTGTGTCTCTTTTCCCAGAAGCTAACAATTGCCAATAGCCCCACAGCTGAGGGTAGCATTTTATGCCCAAATCCCATCAGTGTGATGGGAGTGATCTGACTTGGGCTTGCATGAGTTTTGAACAGGGCCTATTATCAGTCCAGCCATAGATTCTTGATCCAATAATGGTGCCATGTGTGGGTTTCATCCTGTGGAGCAGCTCTTAAATCCAGTCAGAAATTAGTGGGTTACAGTTAAGTGAACTGATGCATAGGCTACTGCCTAGAATCGAATATCGAAGAACTGATAGAAATATATTCCCATCATGTAATTACTATTGACGTTTGTCTCCATACACCTTATCCACATTTTCCTTCCTAGAGAAAACAAATTATGGAGTTGCAATAAGAAATTAAATATATCTGGTAAAAATATGTTATGGTATAGGCACATCTGTCTGTGGTAAATATTGATTCATTTTTTTTAAATATTAGCTTTATTTTTAAATTTTATGTGTATGGATGTTTTGCCTACATGTGTGTAGATGTACCATTTATGTGTTGTGACTCCAGATATCAGAAGTGGGTATTGGAGCTTCTGAAACTGGAGTTACAGATGGTTCTGAGTCACCATGTAGATACTGGGAACTGAACCCAAGTCCTCTTCATTAACAGCAAGTGCTCTTAACCTTTGAGCAATTTCTTCACTCTGTGTGTGTGTGTGTGTGTGTGTGTGT